AAAATGATATAGTAAAAGAGAAAATAAAAGTTATATAAAATATAGAAAAAGAAAAAGGATTATATTTATAGATTTTTAAATAGTATAAGAATAGTATGATAAAAATATAAGAAAGATTAAAAAATTAAAAGATACAAAAAATTAAAAGATGCAAAAAAAATTAAAAGATTGAAAGATACAAAAAAGATTAAAAGATATCATCAAAATCCCAGAAAATACATAAATAGGTAAAATCCAGCTAAAAAAATTTTACTATAATTTTTAAGCATTTTTTTAGGATCAGAATTATAATAATATTAGCTAGTTTCTAAATTAAGAAATTAAATTTCTAGCTAGTATTATTTAAAAAGGAAAGATTTACACAATTTTTTTGGTAAATTTTAAGCAACTTAAGATCTTACCTATTTATATATTTTCTGAAGTCTTATATCATTTCATTAAAACAAATCCAATGGTAATTATTTTATATCTCTGCTTGCCAAAACTATTTTTTCAAAATTTTAACTATTTTTATAATAAACTTAATTGCTGAAACTATTTTTATGCCTTTTTGAACCTAATTATAATTTAGAAAAGTTTTAGATTTATCAATTTTTTTATTAAAAATAAAGTTTTTGAGTTTCAGATTTTTGAATTTTATTGTTAAATGAGTTTTGGGTAGCAATATTATCTCTAAATATGATAAGTAAAATACTAGATGCTAAAATATCTGTATAATATAATAATACTAAAATAAATTTTAATCTGTTATATCTTTGAGGATAATTTTACCACCCTTAAAATCATCTTTATAAAATGATTCTAATGAGCACTATTTCATTTTCTGTAATTATTAAATGTGAAATTATTAAATGAAATATTCTCTTTATATATAAAATGTAGATTATTATTAATTGCTAATCTGCATATAAATAATAGACTAATTGAAAACCTGATTTTACTTAATAATCTAAAAATAAACACTGTGTACACATTCAGAATATATGATTTAAGGGTGACGCAGATTATTTTAAAGCATTAAAGTTTATTTCCACAAAGTTATTTAACTTAGAAAACTGAAAAATTTGAAAAAATCGCAAAAATCAATAATTGCTTAAAATTAGATGGTTTTTACAGATTTTGAAGTATTAAATCAAATATAAAAAAAAATCTGTATTTTTTCAATTAATTTTTTTTTAAAGAATATATTAATACATATGTAAAAGTATGTAAATATAAAATTTGAGGCTTCTAGCCAGTACTTTTATAAGGCAAAAAAAAAGTGGCGCAAATTTATTCAAAATATTGCTAAATTTTGACTAATTGGCAATGTTTAAGAATTTTTTGTAAAATTTTGAGTTTTATAATATTAATATTAAATATTTGAATAAAGAAGATATAATCTCAAGGTTTTTTCAACAAAAATTTTAAGTAATTTGATTAAAAATTGATTGATTTATTTATGGGGGAAATGCAGATTTCATATGTAATTTTGACTTGTTTAATTTATAGATGGATTTTTAAAATTTTAAGTTTTATAAGAATTACATTAAACATTTGAATAAAAAAAATCAAATCTCAAAGTCCTTTCAATAAAAATTTCAAGTGATTTGGTTAAAAATTGATTGACTTATCTATGGGAGAAACACAGATTTCAAATTGGCGGTAATTTTTCTATCCATCATATGCAGATCGGCAATTAATCTTTAACAATTAATTATTTTTAATCTACAAATCCAATTACTTTAAAATTTTTTTTAAAAATTTTCTTTTATTATGAAAAACTTAGTAATTTTATTACAAAAATATTTTTTTTTAATTGTATAGTACACACAATCTAAAGCCACCACTTTTTTATTTTTTGGCCAAATTTTTATAAAATCACGTGAGCAAATTTCATTGGTCAATATTTACTTATCATATATATATATATAGGTAGGTTTGTAGAATAGAATACCAATTGTTTAGCCAGAATTAATATTAATTTTAGCTAAAATGATTTATAAATTTATATTATTAGAAAGAATCTGTTATTTTATTATATATAAAATTGTGATACCCATTAAATTTTTTCTATATTCATTAAAAATAATAAATATATATTTAATTTGTTCCAAAAAAAAAAATAAAGTTTATAGATAAATAATTCTCATTCAGTTATTTTAAACAAAAATATTTTTATATTAATTCTTAATTTAGGCCAGTTTATAAATTTTGGCCTGCATTATATTAGTATTAAACTGACCAAATTCCTCCAAATTTATTCAAAACATAGTAAAATAACTAAAATTAAAACTTATATATCTTATGCTACAGCAATTCAATTTGAAAAAACTCTCTGATACATAAAAGTATATTGTTTAAACTACAATATTACAGAAAGTTTTTTAAAAAAATATTGATTGAATTTTTTTTTCTATTCATTTGAAATTACATAATAAAAAGTGGTGGCTTTAGACTGTATGCACTATATATATATTAATCATTATTAAATATATTATCTAAATAAAATTAATTATAAACTATAATTTTTTTTAATAATTTAAACCATTTATTAATATTTATTTATTATTTCATTTATAATAAACATATTCCCAAGTTTTATAAAATACCTAATTTATAAATTGATACATTACTTTTATGATTTTTATATTTTTTAATTTTTAATAAATTGTGTTATACTTGAAAAATTAATTTATATTGATTGGCTTTAATTTGAAATTAAATTTCAAGGTGATGCATTACTTTTGTGAACTACTGTAATTTTGGTAAAATTTCTCCAATTTTATGATCACTGATATAGTTTAGTTTGTTTATACTTTCCAGTAAAATTAATTTTTTGAATTATTACAGATGTAATATAATGTTATAATTAATTATAATTTATATATTTTATTAATAATAATTATGACTGATATAATTGATTTTATTTATAATATAATATTTTAATAATAACCTTTTAATTTTACTGTAAAGTATAATTTTACCTAAAGTTATCCGTTAACATTAAATAATTTTGACAATTATAAATTGTAGAAATATAGAAATTATATTAAAATTATATTTAGAATATTTAGAACAAAACTTGTAAAATATAGAAAACATAAAAAACTTGTAAATATAAGTATTTGTATATAATTTTCATATAGTTTTAGCAATTCTACAGAATTTTATATAATTCAATATAATTTTTATAATTTGAAATATTAAAATTAATTTCAGCAGGCAACTTTAGTTTCACCAACTTTTTAATAAGAATTTATTATAGTGAGGATTGAAAAAGTTACAGTATATAAAACAAAATTTTAGTATAGTACAGAATAGTATAATATAATACAATACATTGTAACATTGTACTGTAAATCCTTGACATTTTAATGTATATGAATTCTAAAGTATTAAATATTAATATAGCATAATGAGTTTGAAAGAATTGGAATCAATTTTTATTGTTATTTACTTAGATTTGAATTATAATCCATTATTTTTGAAGAGTTATCCAGAAGTGTATCTTTCAGTCCAATTAGGATAATTTTAAGATATTTTACTTATCTGTTATGCACATTTGGCGTTTATAAATTTTTGGTTCATAGTTTTCTCTTAATAATCTAATACAATCTTGACGAACAGTTTTCCCACTTGTTAGACATTTTGTATATCCAATTATTCAACTGGACAATTGGATAATTGGAATGAGTTTAATTAGGTGTTCTGGGGGACAACTTAAATAATCTTTCTAGATTAGGGTTACGGAGGCTTCGGGCGAAGCATGGCGAAAACATTTCGGATATTGAAAAATAGGTTCGCCCGAACACTAAGGCATTACATTTACAATAGTTTTGGCGTCGCTGTATTTTTATTATTATATTCCAATTAGAAAGTTAAATTTAATATTCCTAATTTTGTTTTTCGCGTTTGAATATGTAGTGGATATCTGGTTTAACCTTAACTGTATTCAACCATTTTTCCGTGGTAACATATCTGATAGGACTTATCCGTAATTTTAGTGTCGTAATCCTGGCTCCAGATAATTTTACTATTTGCTAATTATAGTAATCTGACGTTATCCGTGCAGATTTGTATGAATTTATTCAGGTTTCTCAACGTGATAGTTATTTATTCATATATTCCAAATCCATCACAACACAAAAAACGCCAGGTGTTACGCATGACTTAAAATTTGAACATCAAGTGCTGCATGTAATTTGTAGTTCATTTTATACTCCATTTTCAACAAAATGTCGATCATTTTGTAGCGAAAATGTAATTCAAGTAATTCAATTAGACTATGTTTCGTTGTTTTTTTTTATTGAAATATCAAAAAAATCGAAACATTTTTTACAAATTATTTAAGCAGTTAAACTTTGTTTCTTTATGCAAATAAGATTTGGGTGCTCGCAGTGTGCTGTGTGTTAGATCTTCGATTTGTCAAATCATTCCAAAAAAGGTAATATTATATTTTTATTTCCTGCTATATTATATAAAGAGTGAAAGAACGTTATATAATATGATTTTCTCGGTTTATTTTATTTCAAATATTTTGTCATCGGTATTTGCAATTGCTGAATTGACTTATCTCCCTGATTGGGAAAGGGGTTAATTCTTTTTTTTTTTTGATCGCCAAATAAAGAGAAATTGTTAATCAGTATCGATCCCGAGCTAAACAATTTATAAACTGAAACTTATTTAAGTAACTAAAATTGGTTTATCGTGACTATTATTGCATGTAGGTCGCCACAAATTTTTCTTATCTTTAAAAGAAACAATAATTCTTAATAGATAGTCCGTCGCATATTTTTTGGTAATCTTAATTCTTTATCAAACTAAGCGGCAAAACGGTTTACTCTTTTAGAAACTGATGACCGATAAGTATCGGACTTGTCGTCTGATCTTAAATGTGAATTCTAAAATTAGGTTTGTAAATCGGCATATCAGACTTCAATTAAAATTTCGATATAAATTCCAACTTTTTATGCCTCTTGGAATTAATTAATATAACTAAAATAATTAATTAAAAAAAAATAATGGAAGGACACATTCAAAAAACCGATGAAGAATCTAAAACCAAAGGTTCAGTTGACGAAGAACATGAAACCTTACCGACGTTAGAAGATTGGAGAACTTTACCAAGAGTTGCCGATAAAATACCAATTAGTAATTAAATTTTTTTTTGAATTAAATATATGTTGTTACAATTATAATAATATTTTTATCCCTATCAATCTAGTGGCATGGATGGTTGTAATTTGTGAACTTTGTGAAAGGTTTACATATTATGGAGCATCAGGACCTTTTCAAAATTATGTACAATACCCTCCACCAGCGGTAAAGTTTGGACAAGCTGGAGCCATTGGAGCGGGTCAAGAAACTGCTACGGCTTTAATATATTTTTTTCAGTTTTTCTGCTACATAACTCCTTTAATAGGTGCAATTGTAGCAGATCAATATTTTGGAAGATACAATACGATATTGTTATTCTGCATAATTTACATGGTTGGATTAACCGTCCTAACAGCGACAGCAACTCCTATGGCTATCGCAGCAAAAGCTGCGTTTCCAGGTCTGATAGTCTCCATGATAATTATTGGTTTAGGAACAGGAGGTATCAAAAGCAATGTTAGTCCGCTAGTTGCCGATCAATATACTCGCACTAAACCTTATGTTAAATCAACGGGAAATAAAAAAGTTATTGTAGATCCAAAAATTACAATTCAATCTCTTTTTCATTGGTTTTATTTGGCAATTAATGTTGGATCACTTTCACCTATTCTTACAACTTATATTGAAAAATATCATTCATTTTGGTTGGCTTTTCTTATTCCGCTTGCCATGTTTTTCGGTGCTATTGCGGTTCTTGTTATTTTTAAGAGTAGATACATAAAAACACCTCCTCAAGGATCAATTCTTTTAAAATCTTTCCGTGTTCTTAAAATGGCCTTTATTCGTGGTAAAAAACTTGACAATGTTAAGCCATCAAATTTATCAAATGAAGATATATCAAAATATAATGTAAATTGGGATGATAAATTTATTAATCAAGTGAAAAAAACACTTAAAGCTTGTAAAGTATTTGTATTTTTCCCTATTTATTGGGTTTGCTATGGACAAATGAACAGTAATTTGGTTTCACAAGCTTCTGTTATGCAAACTGGAAATGTTCCAAATGATTTGATTATGAATTTAAATCCTATTAGTCTAATAATTTTAGTTCCATTTACCGATCATGTCATGTGAGTATACAGTATACTGTATTGCCAAATTTCTGAAAATATTATTTAATTTACAATTGATAAATTTCTTGTTGCCACATTTATAATAGCTATCCAACACTTCGAAGATTCGGTATAACAGTTCGTCCAATCACACGCATGTTTATTGGATTTATGTTAGCTTCATTGGCAATGGCATATACCGCAATAATTCAGCATGTCATTTATACTACCGGTCCATGCTTTGTCAATACGGGCTGTGAATTCGATGGTCAAGTTGTTCCTAATAATGTGAATGTTTGGATACAATCTCCTTCTTATGTTTTAATTGGTTTTTCAGAAGGTTAGTTAAATTTGTTTGAATGTTTACTTTGTCACTTATGTAACTAATTTATAAAATTTATAAAACATTTTTTACTCAAAGTTTTTGCTAGTGTCACGGGATTATCCTACGCGTATGAAAGGGTAAATTTTTAACATAAAAATCATGTTATATGTGTTTTGTTATATTAATTATAACAAAATTAATCTTTTAAATTTCTTTTAAAAGGCACCTGATGAAATGAAATCTACAGTTATGGCTATATTCTTAACGATGTCGGCATTTGGTTCAGCATTAGGATTTGCCTTTGTGCCATTATCAAAAGATCCACATCTTGTTGTTTTATATATTATACTTAGTGTTATTGTCGCTGTAGCTGGGTTCTTGCTATTATTCACTTTAAAAAGATTTGATAACGAGGAACAACAAGAGGAAGAAGAACAGGTCGATAAATCCGAAGAATAGTCACATTTTAATAATGTACAATATTAACCAATTTATTTTATTGTTTTTATTATAATATATTTAATTTTTAAAAAATAAAATTTAGTCATCTTTTTTTAGTCATATGATCACATACTGTAATACGAATTTCACAATACGATGATTAACATATGAAAAAATTCTTGTTATACCGAATATCATTAGTATAAGTAATTTTTATAACACGCATGTACAAAATATAACCCTTTTTATAATGAATTCATTTTTTTTTAGTACAACAGATTTTTGTTTAACACAAAAATGGAAATTTTCTAAAATAAGTAAATTTACTATTATAATCTATTTTTATCAATAGATCAAATTTATAATATTTGTAATAATAACTTTACAATATAATTATAAATTCTTTTTTTTTTAAATTATTCTCACTGGGAGCAGATATAATTATAAATTTTAATTTACATATCTGCATTGATTTCATAACGACTAATGAAATAGTTCACAGATTACAAATTAAAAATACTAATAGCATTCATCAAATATAGATTATTGGACGTGTATTGCTTAAATCTCACTATATCCCAAAAAAGGAAATTATTATGCCGATCATTTAATTCTGGCCAGAATTAATACGTCACGTGATTTAACAAAACCGAAAAAAAAAGTTGTATTCAAACCATCTTGGTACCAATCAATGGTAGACATAAATTAGTCAAAACACTAGCTATAGCTATATTATATATATCTAGTTGTTTCAAATCTACTAATTTATCTTGTTATTTTAACTGCTAATATTGGATCCTTTATTATCTAATTACAGGTCTTAAAAACTGCATTTTTTAAATAGCTCTATTGAGTATAGGTTCAAAATGATGTTAATAAAGACACTAAAACTTTATTTTTATTAAAATCATCAGGCTTAATAATTTGTTCATATATTTTTTTACTATTTAGCTATTTTGCTTTTAATCAATTAATATAATTGTGTAATAATAAATGTAACTTAATTAAAATAGTTAACATCAAATTAAAACAATTAAAGTATAACAAATAAAAAGAAAATATTTATAGTTGATAATTTCCATTTAAGATCTTTTACAAAAATTTTATATTCTTCAGTTTTAAGATCAATTTCAAATACTTCAAAAGAGTGATATAAATTGAAATTAATAATTTATATATTGCAAATCTTTAAATTTTTTGATTAAAGAATCTTTTATAAATTGAAAATATTTAATTGCCGGTCTGTCATTCAATGGTACAAAATTAATTTGTAGATCTGGTGCAGATTTTATATGAATTACATTAATTGGCATATTTTAATGTCGATTTTGTCTCACAAGGTCACGTTTAAATGTAACGATGACTCACCAATCAACAATATTAAACATAAATAAGTCACAAAAAAAAATTTTTTTATCGTTCAATATAGAATTTAACAAGTTTACCTTGGAGGAAGTCACCATTCCACCTTATATTTTAGCTAAGATAAAATTTTTTATACACGAATTTTGCAAATTTTACGAGGTTTTTTTTTACACTATTGAAAAATATATATTATTTTTTTACCAAATTAACAAAATAACAAAAAAAATATATATTTTTTTATTTTTCTTTTTTAGTTTTTTTTTTGGCACACCTTAATCCTACCGGTTTTGGAAAACACATCCAGGTAATGTAATACCTTTTTCTAGCAAATTTTTGAAGTATTTATATTGTTATGACGTATTTTTAAGATAGTGCAAACACCATTCTAAAGCAATAGTATTTAATATATAAAAGTCCATCAAAATTAATTATAAATTGCTGATCATTTTGTACCGTTGAGTGGCAAACCGGCAATTAATTGACTTTACATGCTTTTTATTTTTTGTTTTAAATAAAAAAGTAAAATGTACCAAACTTTTTTTTTTTGGCTGCAGCATATTAAGAATTTTTATTAGAATTTTAAAATTTAATATATAAGTAATATAGTGAAAAAAAATTGCATCTAATTTCATAAAACCCTAAACTACCTATTAATTTATGACGGAATAACCATATGTGCACTATCAAAGGAAACTTCAGACTGGTGAAATAAATTTAATGTATAATTAACCTTTTTTAGAAAAATTCTCCTCTTCCAAATCTACGTCTAAATGCCCTTAAGACTTACTAGTATAATTGCAACATAAAACCTATAGCTACTAACTAATGAATAAAAAAAAAAATAAAAGAAATAACAAAATAAAAGCCAATAAAAATATAAAAATGAAAAATGAGATTAGTAAAATAATTTGAAATAACTACTATAATGTTCCATTTACTCTACCAATAACTCTCCTAATTTGTCTAGTTTTCCTATTAATTAGCAAGTCTATTAAGTAAATTTCATATTTCAGCTAATAATAATATTAGCTTCAAAGTCTTTTTTCATAGTTTTTATTATTTTAGTAATATGTTTTTTCAAAAAATCTTTCCATCTGCTTCTTATCATTCAAATTCTTCAATATTACCTTCAGATTTACATCTTGGTTCTGCTTCTGTTGTAAGTCCTTATTCTTTGGTAACTTATTACAAGGTTTATTCAATTTGGATGCAAAATATTTTATTTATACATCTTTATATTCGCCAAAGTTAAATTTTATATTAGTAATTTTATTTAAATTGACTTACAAGTCATAATACGTAATTAACTTTGAATGCTCTTTTTCTTAAACAATCTTAAAAACTTTATATCTTATAGATAAAAATAATGATTAACTGCAAAATATAATTCTTCAATTATCAAGAATTTGAAAATATCCAATAAAACTGCTTGGAATTTCTCACGTTTTTTACATTACTTTAGATCTCAAGCTGCAGAAAATCATCTAACAGATAAACCTTTAAGAGAAGTACTAGAGCACCCTCAAAAAAGAGATTAAAGAGCGCTATAAAATTATCAAAAAAGAAAGTTCTGATACAAGAAAACTTAAATGAACCTAATAATCAAATAAGAAGTCAACGAAAGTGCTTATTATGTGGAAAATCTGGTTATTATCAGAAAAAATGTCCAAATGCTAAGAAAAATGATCAATATAGAGGTATATTATACTTCTGTAATCTGTTTTTATTATTAAAATGTCATAAAAACGCAATTTTTTATTTGATTTTTACTGTACTAACGGTTAATCTAATTGGTTTAAGAACAGTTTAGTTTTTTTATAATCAATATTAAAGATTACTCATATGCATATAATGTCAAACTTTAATTCGAAAAATCAAATAAAGGAATGAAGAATAGAGGAGTGGATGATTGAAAAAGAACAGTAGAATAATTTTTACGCATTTTTAATGTAATTCACAGTTTTTATAAATAATTACGCATTTTAATATAATTCAAACATGTTTTTATCTAATAAAACAGTTTACTTTAGTAATTACTTTATTAATTATTATTTGTACATTTTATTACATAAATAATATGTGTATTTTTTATATTAAAAATGAAAAAAAAACTTTTTTTTTGGAACGTAAAATTTGATGTCACGTGATTGGTGATTTTCACCTGGGATGAGCATTAAAATTACCAAATAAAAAAATGAATTTAATTTTTATAATATAATTTGTATGAATTTTTTCTAAAATCTTAATAATAATATTTAATTTATTGATAAAATTAATCATTATACAAAAAAAAAAATAAGTGGAATGATTACTATGACCATTTTTTTTGCAGAATAAATAAACATATTCTCTAATGAGTGTATACAGCTTCAAAAGTGGTTTGACAGGAAAATACACTAATATTATTGACCTTATTAACAAGGTCACCGACAGTGATGTAAATTGGATCAGCGCAGTATGCGCAGCGCACATTAATTTAAATTTGCGCATATTTTGTTAAAAATGATTGGCGCTCTGTGTACACCGTATATAGCGCAAAATTTGCCTTATGTGCGCAAAATTTGCCTCATATGCGCAGAATTTGCCTCATGTGCGTAAAATTCGTCTCATATGTGCAAAATTTGCCCTATATGCGTATAATAAATTATAATTTGATCATCTAATAATTAATAAAATAATTTCAGTTTTGTGTAATTTGATTATCCAATAAATAATTACCATGTAATTCGATAATCTTGTATTAAACCTCGAGATTTTTTTTTGTTTCATTTTTTTTTTTGTTTTCAATTCTTTATTTGTCTTTCACCAACAATGTCTAGTTCTAAAAAAAGCAAAAATAGTTTAAAAACGTTTTTTTCCTTCTACCGAATCAATGAATAAGAAAAGAGGAAGAACAAGTTTATCGCAAGAAAAAAATCAAGGAGAAAATCAAGAAGAATTATCTTCTAGTTCAGATATATCAGATACAGAACAAGCATCTGCTAAAAGATCTCATGTCCGCAAAGAACCAAATCAAAACTGGTTTAAGATATATCCATGGCTAAAAAAAGAAGTAGAAGAGGATAAAATTATATTATTTTGCTCTTTGTGCAGAGAAAGAAACGGGAAAACAGTATTTGCAGTAGGCACAAAAAAATATCGATTAGAAAGTATTAAGAACCACGTGAAAACAGCTGAGCACAATATACATGCCACCCAAATTATTTTGGACTGCCGTAATTATAAGTAAAATCCCAAATTCAATTATGGCATCCCAAATTATTTTGGCACTTTACATAGTAAATTATATATAAACCGAATGAATTATGGCATCCCAAATTATAATTATGGCATCCCAAAATAATTTGGGCAGCATGTATAGAGCATAAAGAATCAGAAGATCTTTCTAAGTCACAACAAACAAGGATTATTACTAATTTTGTGAAACAGTTGGGTATTGACAAATTAAACATTATATCACTTATGAGGAATGTTTATTTTTATGCCAAAAATCATCTGCCTATCAATTTATTTCCTAATTTATGTGAATTAGTTACAACCCAATTTCGTAATCATGAAGAATATATTACTTCAGACAAAATGTGTATCCTTAAAACACCATATTATGAAAAAAATAAAATGAAAGCGTCATACGGCAGTTACACTAACAATAATTCAGGAACCGAATTTTTATCCAGTATTTGTAACGTTATTGAGGAAAATTTATTCAAAAAACTAGATATTTCCAATTACTGGAGTTTAATGATCGATGAATTTAATACTATATCAGATGATAAGCATTTAGCAATTGTGGCTAAATATCTGATAAATAATGTTCCATATATGTGTTATCTTGGAATGATTAACTTAGAAGAAACCAACGCTCT